CATTCCTGCAGGTGACAGAGAGGAGGGTCTGAACTATGGCAGCCATGTGCAAATAATAAAAAGTCAGCAGATTCTAGTTTGCCCAGTTTATACAAATTTGGGATGCTCCTGCCTTCTCACGCTTATTCCATGTGTTGTTGCTGTATGCCTCAGTAGCGTTCGTTCAATCCATCCCATCGCTTTCACCCACACGCTCATCAGACCTATGCTCCCAGACACGGCTTCCTCCATCTGCACTTGCTCCATCCTCTCTGCTCATGCACGCAGATGCACCAAGTACATAGGGCCAGTCATTCTGTATGCTCCTCGCGCATCAGACCTAGGCAGTTTACATGTGCTTATTCCTCACACCTCCACATTTAATTCCAGCATGCACCCATCACCCTTAGGAATAGATCAAGCTATGTGAGGAGAGAAACTCAAGTGTAGACCCAACCATTCATAGGCAAAGCCCACGGGAAACAAAGGGTCCCCTTGCATAACTCTTAGCAAACATGCAAGGTGTGCAATCCCCTGTTCCTAACCTTCTGCTTTCATGATGGTTCTGGCTCTCCCCTCAATCCCTTGCCTTCAATACCTGGGTCTCCTTATCCTAAGTCAGGAAAAAAACGCCCCTGGAGCCATGCTGCACCTCTCTAGTGACAGGGGTACAAAACCCAGGTACATACAACTACCAGTAGCAATCAGATCCTTTGCTCCCTTAGGCCTGCTACAGTGGGGATGGAGCAGGCATCTGAAAAGAGCCAACAAGGCCCCAGTCAAGGCAGCCTCTAGAGTCCCTAAAATCTTCATGAAGGGGCTGCCAGGAACCCTCTTTTGCCCCCTCCATGCACAACTCCTTTGTCTTTCCACTTTTCATTCCCCACCTGTATGCCAACCCCCTCTAGCCCCGCTATCAACCTGGGAACACACCACTCCTCAGGTCCCCTCTTGCATCTGGAGTCTCCTGGGCCAGGATCTTGATGACCTGCACCACTCGACCATCCTTCAAAAACAACTTGTCACCCCCTTCTGCAGTTCTTCGGGGTCACTGCCCCCCCTGTAATGCTACGGGAAATGGCCACCAGGAGTGTGGAGAAGGATGCGGTTTCCCTCACCTGGCAGGCAGTCCAAGACCTGCCTGCTCCCCTGTGCCGGTAGGGTAGGAGCCGTCTTCTCATAAGGGAAGGACTTGATGGCAATAGCAAGACTCACCCTCACCCAGTTAAGGTAAACCTCTCCAACAAAGAAGGAGTTCAACCAGTCTGCAGGGCTGGGCCCTATGCGGTAGGAAAAAGGCCTCATCCCTTGCCATAAGTCCCAGAGCTCAAGGCAATGGGGTAGCAGCGACTCCTGACAACAGGACTTGTGGACTGCCTGAGATGACAAACGGGCCTGGAGCAGCAGCTCATGGAGTCACAGACACCGTGGGAGGGAGATCAGACCGATGAGGAGAAGGGGTCTCCTGTGCCAACAGGTCTCTGTGCTCTCCAGTCCACCGCAAGCTGAAAGGCCAAGAGCAGCAGCAGCTCTCAGCTCTTCGCGTACACACCCAACAGGGAGAGCCTAGACTGTCCCCAACCTGGGAGGCAGCTCTGAATGGCACCCTTTCCTTAGGGGTAGCTGGACCCCAGAGCACTAGGGGGTGAGATCCCTGGTCTGAAACACTCTCTGGATGACTCAGAGCAAGAGGTTGACCAAAACCAGACCCCAGGAAGAAGCCCCAGTCACCAGCATTGTCTACGGCTCAACCAATATTCAAGCAGTCCGTGCCAAGCAGAACAACGACAGTAGGTAACGTTGAAAGCAACCACCCTTATAGCATGGGAAGGTGGGACACAGTGAGGGGTGGATGGTAGGGGTTCAAATGACCTCAGGTAGGGGAATTAATCAAACTTGCATTCTGGGCAAGCACTTTTATCAGAGTGCTAGTGGATAAAAGGGAAACCATAATTGCCTTCTCAAAAATCACAAAGGCCACTGGCACTACCAATGAGAAGTCTCAGCTACAGCAACGTGTCAAGTGGTTCTTGTTAAAAGTTGGAAAACCAGACCAAGACAGCAAAGCCAATTGAAAAGGCCTGAGACGACCCTTTGAAGTATCCCAATAGACCATCCGACTTCCAGAGAACAAAAGCACTTCTTCCCTCCTTTACACCCAGTTACATGATGTCTGGCTCTACCAGCTCCAGTGGAATTACACTGGTAGAAATCCAGAAAAGAAATAGAATTTGGCACAAATCTATTTAACTGAGCTTTTATGCAACTGGCAGAACAGCATGATTTTGACCTTTTGTTATACTTGGAGCGCAACAAGAATATAAATCTATTTTTTAAAAAGGTAAGACTTAAAAACAGAGACGGGCTTAATTTCAATTTCAATTTCACAGCCAGTAATGTGGATTGGTGCCATTTTAAAAATTGTCTATATACTTTTTTCTTTAGAAAAAATATCAAATGAACCTCCCCACCTCCTCAAAAAAAGAAAGGTGCACACAAGGCTCTACGTACCACATATAAACCCAGTTAAGGACATTCTGGGATGGGTGCTCTCTCAGTGTAGTGCACGCTGTTCTCAAAGACCTTACTCTTATATTACTGTGCTAGTTTCACTACCTGATAACAATAAGGAAATTTAGAGAAATTCCTTACAGTGCTTCCGTGAGCGTACAGAAATCAGATCCCCTGGATGTGGGTCACACCTTTATCATGCAGACACAGAGCTCTTCCTGCTCTGTAGAAGTATCCCACACTTCTGTGGGACTCAGCAGACAGCAATCAAAGACCCTGTGGACCCACAGAGAAGGAAGCACATACAGAAGTCTTCACTATATGGCAGGAGATTCCCACTAAGACTCAGCGCAGTGCCAAGATCTAAGTTGCCACCGCTCCACCTGCATAGTGTGGATCCCTGAAACATCCAGGAGCTGGAAAACCTTATTAGCATGGCTTCATGACGTATTGCATATACCCAATTTTTTCTTGCTTTCATGAGCTAAAGCGACAGGCTCTGCTTTAGTTTGGTTTTTAAACAGACTGAAATAAAGATCCAAACTGCCAGTGGACAGTAGCAGTGGTAAAACTTCAGCACCGACATATCATTTAAGCTTCGAAGGATAGAGCTTAGAACGCCCGAGGTAAATAATAGCCCAGTCTCCATTGTGTGAAACAAGGAGATGGAGGAGAAGAGAGAAACACCAGAGCATCTTGGCCAAGTACATGAGGAACCAGTGGAAGATGCAGAATTGAGTTCCTAGCTCCTACCTTGTAGTTATGTTTGTAGGACAGTCTACCACTGGTGACAGCTTAAAATTTAAAAATAGTTGCAAAAACAGTTTTGCTTGCACTATGGCAAAACAGTACTTTGCCATGCAAAGAGAGCAGTTTCCAGTCACACAGGCATACCAATACATGGAGAGACCATTATTCCCACGTATAATCTCATTTGTCAGCAGCTTGCAAAACCATTATTTTTAAAACAAATAACATTTACCGTTAATTGCTTTCCAGCTGACAAATGAACAAACAGAGGAAACGATACATAAACAGGAACATAAATTTTACAGCACAGCATTTAGTAAACACGCTAGTCTTCCAAATCTGTCCAGTTTGTTAGTAGTAATCTTTAGCAGCCTGGGCTTCGAATGTTGTGTTGTAGAAAGTCTGCACAGCCAGATCACATTTATGCACCTTGTTCCTCAAGGAGACACTCTCTAGTCATGAAGAACGTCCCCTTTTCCAGCAGTTTTTAGTAGTTATTGCAACGAATCTCAGAACAATGATTAGGGTATTAATTTAGTTTTCTTCCCCTCCACCCTCTTCACATCCCTGAAGACTTATAGCTTGGGCTTGTATTATATCAAGAACTTGTAGGACCCAAACTGTTTGCTTCTAGTCCATGCCTGAATGATCAACATATTCATAAGCAGACTTACTTATTCCATTTTGCAATACTACGAATAGACACTGCATAAATGACAAGCCCAATTTCAAAAACATGACTTCTTTGGCCCCTCAGTTTTGCACTCTCCCCTGCATACACCCATGATGAAGCTACTGTAAGTTTTAGAGCTCTGTGCGAGTGTACAGAAATGTGTGTGGAAATGATTAGTTGCGTACCACATCCGAGTTCATCCCACTTCATCACTCCAGCCCTGAGGGCCCAAGTTTGTCCTCAGATTTACTTAAATCCCCACTAAAGTCCATGGGTGATATTAACTCGTATCTTAAGGCAGAGCCGAGTATCAACTGCATGATTTGCCCATCATCAGCTATTCATTGCCATGACTGGGACTGTAAAGATTTCATGGTGCAGGGGGGATGGGGACAGACATTGCAGGAAAGGCTGTCCAAAGCAGTACTGCGTTATGAAAGCATTAGTTCAGAAATAAATAGAACGCAAACCCAAGAGGTTTTAACCAGATTCAATTTTTTTTTTTAAATTCAAACTGACCCAAAGCAAAATTTACATTACAAAGGAAGAACAAAATACATTATGATACTGGTAACACAGTGAGAGAGAGTTGCATGAAGCTAGTTTTGTGGGCAAATTGTAAGTTGCTCTTGTCCCAATGACACTTTGGGCTCTGGAGAGATTTTATGAGAACGAGTTAGGAATCAAGATTTCCATATGGTCCACTCTGCTAAAACACACTACGTGTTCTCTTTTGCTTCAGGGTGTCTGTATGACAACTTAATTATACTATTTCTCTTTGTCCAGATGCATTCTCTTGCTATAGCCAGAAAACTAAATTCTCCACGCTGTCCTGAGGAAGCCAGAGTTATTCCAAGCATGAGTGATAATGAATTAAAAAACCAAAACACTCAAAAGTTTTGCAAACTAACGAGTATTGTCTATAATGTAGTAAATAGTTTAGAAATATGGTAATTAAATAATCTAAAAAAAAAAAAAAACACTCTTACTCTCTGCTGTACATTTATAAACACAAATATTTACAAAAAAAATTCTGCTTTGTTTTTAAAGGATGAGGTTTGCAGTTTGTTAATGATCAGAATCTTTTACTAGTCTGTTTCTTTGGTGTATTGCCAATTTTTAAAAAGGTTTAATAAAGTGTTGAACAATGAATTATAAGGAAATGGAACTAGGCTGTGTAACAAATTTATATTATGCATTTATCCTGCCCCATTCCAGTCCAAAGAGTATGGAGAAAACAAATTCAGTTTGAGTTTTTATATGTTTTTATACCTAGTTAAGGGAGCAACAAAAGAATAGATCCACATCATTCAAACCTAGTTAGGCCTGAATGATGGATAAGCCCCGTACTTTACTCATTTAAGCATGAGCTAAAACTTTAAAAAAGCACACAAACAGCCCCACAGAAGTCATAAAAAACTACTCATAGGCTCAAAGTTAAGCACATGCTGCGCAGTTTGCTGAATCAGGGCCTAAAAGCCAGATTCCAAGCCCAACAGCAGCCTCTCTACTGACATGAGTGGGTTTAGGATAAGGTCCTTAGTAGATCTGCTACTAAAAGGGGCAAGGATTTTGAACGTTTTTCTTTTAAATAAAAGAAAGGCTTTGCACTGGCCTAAAATTTAAGAGTGTTCCCTTTAAAATGTCAGTTACAAAAAACCCCCAAACCTCAAACAATAAATAATGGAATTACATATTTCTTCATTAAATAGCATTTCTGTTACCAACAAGGTCTTTCATAATTTTCTGAAGTCACAGCAGCAGACAGAACAAGCAATATGCCTTGATGTGGGCTTTGACAAGAATACTCAGTTATGTTAGAAAAAGATTATTGTAAAAAATGAAGCTTCACTGACAACAGGGAAGAAAATGGTTTTTAAATCCAAATTTCAGAAGAAAATAGTTAGTTAAATGTTACGGTATTTTTTTTATTAGAACTTCTGAATAATATTAAGGTTCTGTTTCTATGTCACTGAAGTGAAGATTCAGAGTTAAAAAGCTGTCATCTCCTCCTCAACTCTGCTCATTCCACCTGTAACTTTACTCATCATGCCTAGGAACTTAAGATCCAAGAGGTTGATCTTTTCTCCTTTCAGTGTTCATTAAAAGATACATTAGGAAGTCTAGTTCCCTCTCCACAGCACAAATACCACCAATGCATTTTCACTATGCCCGAGGAGGAAGCACTGTAATGAGGAGCATCATCTTGCCCAGTTACTCTCTAGCCTTTTTGCCAAGGCTGCCAACAAGGATATACATTCATAATAAGTACATTGACTCTACGGCATGGAGAGTAGTCCTACAGGCTGCTGCAACATTAACTTTTGGCCACTGCTGAAGGAGGTTGGATTTGAATCAATGAGTTCGGGAGGAAGGATTCCTAATCTCATTACCCGTCCTCAGAGCCACAGATCTCTAAATCTAACCCATTGTTTGGAAACCTGCAAGGCACAAAAGGGCAAGATAATCCTTGCTGCTATGGTTCCTGTGGAAACCTTAGCAATAAGTTGAGTACTTGAGAAAAATGACAATCCCTGGTTTCAAGGAACGAGGATGAACTGGTAGGGATAAACTGGTAAATCTGAGCAGACTTGCTTCTCTGGCTTTTCCTTTATTTTTTTTTCCCCTTAAACTTTTTGGAAGTGGCGGTGTTAAAATTAAAAGCCGACACCATTTCTCTTACCTCCCCACATCCACACACCTCACTGGTATGAAAGTATCACTCATAAGGGTCCTTCTGAAACCAGCATAGCGATACAATAAAAGAAGAAAACTTTTGGCAAGAACCTTATACTGACTCCACAACCCTGTGATAATAAGAACAATGAAATGGCTGCAAATTTGACCCCTTCCTGTATAATGTTGAGGCCTTCACTTTCCACTCGCTACCAGCAACATTTTCATTATTTGAACTTATTAATGCTTATGATTAAAACAAGCAAACAAACCCAGAGAGACAGCAAAATTTGGTTATTGTATCACTCATTAATTTCAGATTAATAAGAACTGATTTAGGCCATGGACAGATTAAAACTGTTGTAAGGGGGCGGTGCTTACTGTTTCATCCGTCTGGTCTTATCCTGCAGCGTGTGAAATTAAAGCATGGTAACTTAACCCCAATTAATCCAGGAGTAAGATGCCTTCATTTCACTTCCACTTACTGCACGACAGAAATGAGCAAACAAACAAAAGCATTACAGCAGAACAAAAGTAACATTCTTCCCTGTTTCTTCCCTGCCTACCTGCCAAAAACCAGAAATTGTTTCTTTTTTCCATACCACCACTGTTTGCAAAATTTAAACTATTAATGCTAAGGGGAGCATTTTTAGTCAGTGCACATATGAAAATCAAGCTAATGGAAGCTTATCAACGGAGGCTACTTAGCTTTGAACAAACCCCAAACAACTGAGAGCCTACCCCGCAAAGACCTGTAATCCCTCTTTAAAAAAAAAAAGGAAAGTATTCTACCACATCTTGGGCATTGAAAATACTTGGCCTGAAAAAGTGAACGTGAAATTTCAGTGCAAACTGAAATACAAATAGCCGAAGTTATACATTCATGAAATTCAGGGATTACTATAAAACGATAATTGCCATGCCATCATAGCATTGCAGTATCAATGCTACGTACGGTAAGGCAGCAGTCCCTAACCTCAGAAATAATACACTGAGGCTAAGTAAGGAACGTAATGGACAAAGCACATCCGAAAACTTATTGCACAGGAGGCACTGCATGAGAAACGGAATACACTGGCTTCCCCTTAAATGTACGTCAAAATAATACAGAGACTATGACTCTGTGCACCGTACTGTCACTTTTAAAAACAGCCGTTATAAACAATAGCCCATTTACAGGGAAATGATAGGAAAAAGCAAAAGGACCTGAATTTGGACATCCAAACTTGAGTAGTTAGGAAAAAGAACAGTATAAAAAGTGCCAATTTATATACCTAAAAATTTAGCAGGGCAACTGTTTTCTGTTTAAATTTCCACATGGCATTTATACAGTACCAACACATCTTGGTTACAATCTCTGTCTTGAAGCTGCAAAGGGATACATGTGGGCAGAGGTTTAGGCCTATATAAGTTCCATCAATCAGCAGTAACAAAGATCTTCCCACGTGTCCCTTGGCAGAACTGGGGCCTTTATTTCCAAATCTCATTTATTAAATAACTGCTCAGCTGGCTTACGACACCACGCATACCAACCAGAACCAATCCTTCCTTCCTTTGAGCAGACCGTGTTCCATCTCTACTGCAAGGCTGCACACTTCATTTAATGAAAACAAAATGTTTTAAATGTAATATTGTATAGAAACCTTGGACCTTGTAAACTTGGACCAAGAAACCAAAAATTAAGACCTTCTAGCGTGTGGTATAAAAAAACCCAAGGAAGTGTATACCTGCCTTCTGACTTCATAGAAAAATCAGAATTTGCATAGGATATACTTTGTGCAAGGCAACCAGCCTCTAAGTATCTGGAATATAACTAATCTTGTTTAGAGTCCTTCTCTTCATGGATATCAGATATCATCAAATTTGTGTTTTAAGTAGTCTTTCATGACCTTGGCAATGGGTAGTTCATCAAGTAGTTTTAGATTTTGAAGGCCTATACACTGACGGATTTTAATTCGGCATAGGTCTTGCAAGTTTCTGGGCTGTCCTGAAAAAGACAAAAAGGAATGTATTAATGTCATGTAATATAAGAAAAATCACATTTAAAATGTGTTGTAAAAGATTAAGCTTTTAAGGTTGCATAATATATTTATTTTTGATGGGTGGTAGAGAAGAATTTCTTCTTGATTGTTGTCTCTCATGAATGAATATTAGAATATAACTCTTTAGGAAATAAAGGGTACTGCAGACACCGATGCACAAGAATAACTGTTCGTGATTAGTTCCGCTGAAGTCAGTACCAGTGCAAGATGAGGTTATACACAAGTGTTTACACAAGTGAAGCAACACATGCTAAGTATTTCCAAAACTGGGCCCTAAACCTGGAGTTTTGATCATGGGAAAGTAGGGCTAGAAGGGACTTCATGAGGTCATCTAGTCCAGCTCCTTGCTCAAAGCAGGATATCTCTGACTAAACCATCCAAGTCAAGTGTCTGTCTTGAAACTTTCTAGGGATGGAGATTCCTCAGCCTCTCTAGGTAGCCTGTTCCAATGCTTAATTATACTTATGTGTAATTATTCTACAGAATCTTAGTATAACAGTCTGATCCCTGTAAAATACCTGTTAAAGTTCAAAGATCAAACCTTGTTTCCTTTCACATACCAAGGCAGTTATTCTCTGCTCAGTCCCCTTTATGGAGGGGGGCAGCCTCTGCAGAAGGTAAGGTTTAAAGAATACAAGGATCAGATACCAGAGTTTACTACTGTATTTTCCCTTCAAATAAAGAGATACAGCTTTTAGACTTCAATACCCCGCCCCAATATATCAATCTTGCCAATGCATAAGTAGTTGGGAACACACATTAGCCATGCCTTCATGACCTAATGCCAACATTAGAGGCATTATGACCTTTCAAAAGAACTCTACTAGGATCCTTCGGAGAGGGAACTGCTGCAGGTTGAGCAAATTTGGAAAACATGTCCCCCCAAAATGACAAAACAAACCTAATATGATGCATATTATGGATTATTGTGGCTCTGGAAGAACAAGGGATCAAACAGATAAGCTCTGCATATTGTTACCTTTAAAAATATATACGTAAACCTAAGCAATTAAAATCAGCATAAAAGCAGCAGATAACCTTATTAGTGGAAATACCTTACAATTACCTTGAAAAGACTGGGCACAATAGACTTGTAAATGCTTAGGCTGATCTCTCAAAATAATCCATCAGCAACAGAAAATCTTACTGCAATCATTTGCCATTTCTTCCAATTGCTATTGCTGAAAGATCACATTTGCATTCCCAAGGGGGGCAAAAAAAGGCATGGGTTTCACTAATATACCTGAACTGTTGTTTTTCACAAGAGCATCAACCATAAGCCTATCAAGCAAAAAACAAACTGAACAATTTAAATGAAATATTTTCCAGTTTCCTCAAGATTTAAACAGAAGCCAAGGCAGAAAGATTCTTACCTCCAAATATGCAATGCGTTTAATAAAGGGATTCCTGATATCTATGCAATAGCAGTAAGCATCACAATAAAATGCCATCTGTGGCTATATGCATTAGGCAGCAAAATTAAAAAATGGAGGTGGGAGAAGTCTCATCTTTTAGAAAGAGCTAATCACCCAAGTGAAAATATGTATCTCAGGTGTGAGATTAGACCATTCATGCTGTCAGTCTAAATTACGCAGCTGACTTCAGTTCACTTGCATTCTCGAGTCTGTGTAGTTACAGGTCTTAGCCAACCTCGAAATTATTTATCTTTTAATAAAACTTATCCCCTCTAACCCATTTCTGTTATTTCTAGTTTACTTTGGGCAGTTGTCAGCACATTGCAGATTCCTCCCTACAGTCAGCTCCCCATTTGTTTTTGTGGCTTTCTTCTATGCAACAGGAGATGGGTCTATTTATTCACAGGTGATTTTTTTTTTTTTTAAGGAGTATAACAAAAGGCCGTGAAGGAATCCTGACAGATACGTTGTGTACAAAACCAGTTTCAGCTCATTTTGAGCATAAATACTGAACTTCAGAAGTATTCAAGTGAGCTGGGAGTTTTTCCTTTTCCATAATCCCTAATATTCCTAGGGGTGCTTACCTTCCAATTATACGAATGCTACCTTTCTAAGTAATATTCGGTCGTGATATTGAGGCTTGCAGTGATGACTTAATACGTGACATTTTCTGTTCGGTAAAGTAATTTTTGCTAAAGAAATGAAGTTATACAACTAAAAAGGCAGCTGAGAGTTTGAACTTCAGGGGCGGAGGGGGAAATATTCTTGGAGTTCAAACCAAGTAGGAGAAGTGTCATTCTCCAATAAATGAATTAATAAATAAATAAATAAATAAATACATGAATTTAGAAGAGACTGAGAACAGGAGTCAGAATGGAAGTACCTTTAAAGTGTAACTACACAAAATGGTGCTTGAGGCTATACATTTTCATGTTGTTTTTTTTTATATATTTGTGTATGCACAATAATACAGCTGGGAGAGAATGATTTTTGGTATCAAAATTAAAAGCTGTTTAATTAACATCCTGTGATCCATTTAAGAATAAAATGGAACAGACAACTTAAAATAGCCAGAAGGAACTGGTCCAACAGTTAATTTAGAGAGCTGCTAAAGACCCGATTATCAAATGTCTGACATTTTCCCCTGAAAAGCCTAAGAATATTTCCTGGGAATGTGCTAACAATGGGCATTTCCGATTTTAAGCACCAGTTACTACATCTAGTGGCTGTTAGTGTCTTAGGTCACGCCTTGCAAATTCCAGGGTTATTAATGCATTTGTGATTTATTAGAAACGGTGTCTAGAGCACTTACTCATTCTTGGTTGCATCTGAATGAAAAGGGAAAAAAAAATAAAGGATTATAGACCAACGTCAGTGAACCTTAGTTTGGCAAATGTAAAACGTTATTAGTAACTTGGCAAAGCAAGACACGTTAAATGATGAATAAAGTTTGTCTACAAATGATTAGGAAGTAACACGTGTGGAATATTTGCTGCATCACAAGTTTGGAAGGATATTAGGACTAATAACACAAACGGAAGTGAACAATAAGGTATAAAAAATGACTTGCAAATCATCATTGCAAAGCAAAGCCATGCAAGCTAGTTCTGTTAATTCCAAACACTTAAAAAAAAAAAACAACCCCAAAAAACCTGATTTCTAAGCTAGATACCTCAATTCCAGGGGTTAATTATGTCAGTGGGTGACATACATGTTGTTTTTTCAGAGTTGCCTTTTCTATTAAGTCAAAGAAAATTACGCTCCTTATACTGAATGCACCAAATTCTTCCTGATTGCTTCTGTATTTACCTACATGTTCCTTTTCCAGTTTTAAGAGGTTTAACCATTTTCACTGATCGTGGAGGCAGCTCTCTCTCAAGATTACTATGTAGCCCTCCCTCCCACCAGTTTCTGAAGTTGTCAGAGTTTAGTTCGATATATTCCACAATACTTCACTGCCAGACTTAATTTTAATATAGTCTAAAAGCAGGAGAGGCCCAACTTCTTTTAAAAGAATACAGTCTACCTTATATCTGTGAGCACCGTTTAGATCAGAGACTTAGGCAGGACAAGAGAAACAGTGAGTTTTAGAGCTCTTTAAAAAAGAATGGAGCAGAGGTTCCCTACTTACTTTCGTAAAATGTGTTTTTTCTAGGCACCCTGCCTGGTGCCAACCTGCCGAGCTTCCTTCCCTTCAGAGCGTGTGGGAAACGGTTTTAGAAATACAACTGCCAACCACTTTGGAAAAAGGGCACTTATGAAACAAAGGTCACACTGTCCTCATTAATTGTTAGTGATACTTTTACTGTGTTAATATGACCTGCCTGTATTCCTTCCGGACTAACTACTCTCCAGGAAGGCACCCCACACACACACACACACACACACACACACACACACACGCGCGCGAGTCAGGGCACATCCAGACGAGCGTACATGTGCGGTATGCGGTGCTGCAGACTAGTGGTGTGTGAAGTAAGCCCTGTTCGATTCGGATTCAGCCTGAATCGGGGACAGTGATTCGATACGTTGATTTGCCCCCGATTTGATTCGGCCAAATCCAAATCTGAAGATTCGATGCCGATTCGGAGAATCAGTGATTTGGCCATAGACACAGCTTTAAATGTTTTTTCTACATACCTTGAGGTTCCAGCGTGGCTCGTGAATGCTGCGGTGCTGGGGCACATGGCGCCTCTCACAGGAGTGCGGGGGGCCCTCCACATGCTTGGCGGTGAATCCAGAAGTGGACCGGAAGTATTTCCGGTCCACTTCTGGGTCTGCTGAGAAGCATGCTAGGGGCCCTCCCCGCACCTACCTGGCTTGGCAATCGGCCGCAGGAAGTCACCAGGTGCCCCCCCCGACCTAGGAGGCACCAGTTGCCGAGCCGGGGAGGGGTGTAGGCGGGCCCCCCTGTGCACACCCTGGCAGACCCGGAAGTGGACCAGAACTGTTTTTGGTCCACTTCTGGGTCTGCTGTGTCTCCCACCAAGTGCGCTGGGGAGCCCCCCATGCTTTTGGGGGATGCTCCATGAGCCCCAACACTGCAGCATTCGTGAGCCCCTGCTACCTAGAAGTATGTAGAAAAAACATTTATAGCCGTCTCTACATCCAAATTGCCAAATCTTTCTGAATCGATTCAGAGGGTTCCAATTCGATTCAGAGAGATTCAAGGGTCCTCTGATTAAATTCGGAGATTCGGCCACTGAATCAGGCCGAACCTCTGCTGAATCCAGTCAAGGACTGAAGCTTTGCACAGCCCTACTGCACACCCATCTGTGGTGCCACACATGGCACATGCAGACATTCCCTGAGCCACTAATTTGCAGCACAGGTGGGGTTTTTTGATGCTGGGAGGTCCTGGCATAAAAAAACCTGCACTAGAGAAAAGCAGGGTGGTGCATGTGGCAGCAGTGCGTGCCAACCAAAACGAGAGCCTTACTGGCCAGAGTCAAGCTCCAGTTGCCAACCAGTCTTTCTGCTGCCGGACTGCCACCACGGGAGCCCTGGGAGACCCCCAGATAAGGCCGCTG